TGCACTCAAAAGAGATCCTTAAAGCCAACGTATGCCTACAGTTAGCAGCGGAGCTCTACAGTCAGATTAAAAGTTTGGACAATTTGTAGACATTTTTGCACCATTATTAGCCTTAGCTACCATAGAAATCCCTCTATATCCTACTACTTAAGATGTTCCCCTTTTCTTTCTTAACTGAATACACATTTCATTTCCTTTAGGAAGATTTTCTCTTCCCCCAACCTCTCCAAAGGTACGATTTCCCACTCCCTTTCACACCTCCACTGTAGCAAGTTCAGATTTGCATCATGGTATTTATGACAATTTCTGGCACAAGCTCTTGTCAACTTTTTGAGGTGGATTAGTGTCCCTTTCTCAAGCATCTGGCATAGAATGCACATTCAGTAATGTCTGTTGACTGAGTGAATAAACAAAACAAATGAGGGAAGGAATAAATGAAAAAAATACAGCTACTGGGTGTTGCCCATAGCTAGAAAAAATTACCATCTTTGTGTAGTGTATTTACCAGACCCTTGCTTGACATTTTGTAAAGACCTTTTACATAGAAGATCTTATTTGGCCATCACAGCCATCTTATTCTAGGCAAGAATGATTCTCTTTTTTAATAGAGAAGGAACTTGGTGATCAGAAAGGTTAAGTGTCTTACCCAAGAACTAGAAAGTAGTAAAATGGGACTAAAACTCCCCTTTCCAACATTCTTTCTTCTACATCTGTGCTTACCTTCCTGTCAGTTGCCTCTGCACAGCACATATCTATTCCCCAGGGAGAGACAAGTTTACTAGATCCCTTTCAAACTGCTTATCTTTAAAATTTTGGTGATGCTTATGGCTCTTGCAAATTTTATTATAATATCAGAACTATCTCTCAAAACTTTCATTCCCCTAGAACAATTAGTAATTACATAGATTATCATTTTAACTTGTTTCTATTAACATTTTTTAGTTACCTTATTTTTTTCTTTCATTTTACCTTTCTCCCTCTGCTCCCAATCTCCATTCTCTCGGTTTCAGTCTATTTAAGGGACTCAATTACATTATTTTCATCTCTCTCTCTCTCTCAGCAGAGCTGCCAGGATATTTCTCTTTAATATATTATTTTTCTAAGCAAATATGCATCAAATCCTTAAGCAGTTAAAAATATATTGATAGACTGGGGGAAAAAAGGGAAAACTTCCGACGTTTCTGTTGCTTTGAAATGGCGAGAGGTCACACAATCGTCAGGGTGTCAGCCTCAGAAGGCGGAGAGCTCATTTGTGTATCTTGCATCTTTTTTATAGAAAGAAACAATAGCTGGATTCCCTCGGTTTGGAGCTCTTGGCGCCGCCTAGTGGAGGGAAGCGCCTTTGCACTTCACTCCCATCAGTTGGCATTGTCATCGTGTGAACCTTTAGAAACGTTAAAATTAACTATGATAAAAAGAAACACTCCCTCCAAGTTGGTCATAGTCTGTGGGTAAATTTCTTCAAAGTTAAGCTCCATTTTAAAAAAAACAGATGCTCCAGTTTAAACAGGATCCCAAATACCAAATCTAGGTGGTGAAAGTATCTCGTTTAGAATGTAGTATAGAATAAAATTTGTTAAAATAGGCTAGTGTTTGGGCCATTCTTTGTAGTAGGAAAGGAGCACCTTTGGTGATGATCAGCACTGATGTGTCCTTCAGAGCCAGGAAGAAAAAGTTTGTTTTCTATTACCCACAGTTGGCAAGTAACTGTTTTCTGGACAATAATTCTAAAATCTTTCAGAAAATTAAACAATTTTCTTTCTTCCTTCTCTTCTTTTATTTAAGGCTTGAAAGTGAAAGATTACATTTAAACTCATGTCAGTTTAGGGACTCTATTTATTTGTATTTTAAGTCCAGTGAGGAAATCTGAGATGAAATCCAGTTAATATATTTCCTTTCACTTGGAAATGTGATTAATCTGCACCCTATTCTATTTCTGAATTGTGATTTTTTTAAAATGAAAAGTGAATTATGCTTACTTTGCCAGAAAATGCATGACTTCTTGGATCTATACATTACATATACTCTCAGGGGAAAAAATGGCAAAAGAGGAATGTGTCTGGAGAAAAAAGAACTCAGAAAAGTTAAACAAAACTCCAGCTCTGAAGAATTTGTTTTTCATTAAGTTTGTGATCTGGTCCTCAAGTTCCTCTTTTGAATCTTCAGGTCACTACTAGCATTTCCTCTCTGGGAGGGACCTAAATATAGGCACCTTAATAAAAGTCAAGGTCATACATTCCCCTCACCATTGCTGCTGATCTCCTAACACCCGCCCAGAGAAATCTTCTGTGATACTAACCTTTTCTTAAGAAAATATGATCTGAGACATTCACAAGGTGGGGAATACTGGGTTCCCGTTCGCTTTGCTTTAGACTTGTCATAAAACACCCACTCTCCCCTGCCCCCAACACTTCCACATTTCTCTCTCCCTTTCTTTTCAGATTTCAATTTTTCGTAGGGTCATATTTGCACCGTCTCCCCTGCCAATGTTGTGAATTATTCCAAGCAAAAAACCCTGTCGAACCGCCCAACACAAGCTGTGCGATCAGCCTTTTGAGCTCTTGAGTCATTTTAGGCGTCGGAACAAAACAAAAACAGGCTTAAATGAATTATTTATCAAGGTCGAGAATGATTGATTTGTGCAGTGCCGTCAGTTCTGGATTTTAAATTTGTTTTCGCCCCTGTCCCACTTCCCATCCTGAATACGCGGTGAGGGGCTAGCGAGTTGGAGACCCCAGGGCTAGGAGAAAACGCACCTCATTCGGGAAGTTAGTGGGCGACAAAAAAAAAAAAAAAGGAAGCACCCTAATCGATATGTGATGAGGGGAGAAATGCGTAACGTCCGTTTGCAGTCTCCCAGCCCTGACGCCCTTCCCACCCTTCCCACAGTGATCAACTGTGCCCGAGGCAGGGAGGTGGGGTGCGCAGGCCGCGAGGGTGTGGGCGCCCGGCCGCACAGGCCAGGCCTTGAGACATAAGGTAAATTGGCCTCCTCCTTTCCTGGCCCGTGTTCATATAACCCCGGGCAAGAAGGCCAAGGCCTGGCCCAACAGCTCCCTGGAGGGTCCTACCTGGCCAGCACTCAGTTCCCGCGCCAAAGGCGGCGGATCCAACCCCGCTCCAGCCAAGGGAGCCCGACCCCTCACCGGCCACACGTTCCGAGGGGCTCCCCGCACGCCTAATGCTAGCGTCGGCCTCTGCCTCGAGCACGTCCCGCGTCCCCGCCTCGGCTCACCAACCCCGGCTCCTCCGCCAAACTCCCCTCGCCTTCTGAGAAAAGCGAGTGCTGCCCGGATTGTACATCTCGCCTCGGTCCCTCCGCTCCCCGGTGTTCTCAGAGACAGCCCTGGGAAAAATGGCACGCAGATGATAAAAAGCAGCTCAACACACCCTCGGAATAGCGCGGGCTTTTTCTGGGTCAAACGCATAGATTTCCCTAGGAAAACGCGGGGAGAATGAGTGTCCCCCCAACCCCCTTCCGGACTTAGGGTTCACACAGAAGCAGTTCCTGCCGAAAGGCAAGATCTTGTCCCAGGAGGTCATTTACCTCCCTGACCCTCCTCCCCTCGAGCTCGATAGAAAAAAGCTGTTGCCCAGAAAGCGACCTACAGAACTGCAACTAAACCCCAGATTTCGGCCCAGCCCTTGGAGACTTTAAAAGGCCATTTTCTAACATCATTCTGCATCTAGTCACGGAAGCGTTGCCAGCCCCGCGGATTCATAGGGTTCTTAAAATGGTAATTTGGAGTAAATTGTAACTCAAAGAACTTTGAATCATTCATTAGCACCTTATAATTACTCTGCTAATTAGGTTGACACGGCACTTAATCAGGAGTAATACGCCGTCTTGTCACTGGCACTTCCCATTACTCTGACATTCAACAAGAGACAGGTTGGAGACGTCCTAGAGAAAATAATGCAAGTTGATACCCTCCAACGAGGCGTCACAGTCATGCTTCGGGTCCCAAGTGGATCCGCAGTGACTGTTTCCTTTCCGACTGAGCGGCTGGCCGACAGGGGCGGGGGCGGACGGACTGGCGCGCGGCGGGCAGGGCCCGGGCCGAGACCCGCCGCTCGGGCTGCTGAGCCCCGCGCCAGCCCGACACCACAGTGAGCCGCGGCCGCCCTCGCCGCCAGAGAACGCTTCGGGCATTGCTTCCCCCGCTCAGGAGAAAGTGTCTGGCCAGGCATTTATTTCTTCCAGCACGGGCTCCCAGTGGAGACGAGCTGGGTCCCCGGTTTGGGGCCGCAGGCTCGGGCTTCCCCGCGTGCCCCGCGGACGCGGGCCTGGCTGCATCTTCCTCGGGAGCCGGCCGCCCCGCCGCGCTCGGCCCGAGCGCCTGGGTTTGTCTGGGGAGAAATCAGAGCTCCGAGCCCTCCCAGCCGGAGCTGCAGCTCCCGAAGTTACACAGTTTCCTGCGGGTTCTTTAGGAACGCCCTCCTCTGCTGTTAGTGTCTTCCCACTACGCCAGCGCGCGTCTGGGGAGGCTGCGAGGGCGGCCGCGCTGGCGTCTAAAGGTGGGTCAACCCGATTCCTTTCCCTTCCGGTCCTCCTTCCCCTCACTTCTGACTTCTTAAGAAAAGGGGTAAATCCTCACTATTTTTTTTTTCTTTCCTCCCTTTGGCTCCCTCTCTAGTCTCCTCTTTTCTCTTTCCCCTTTTCCCCTCATTCGTGATTGTGGACACCGGGACCACGGGACTAGGCGCTGGGCTCGGGGCTGCCGGCGCAGGCAAGTGCGGGTTCTCAAAAGAGCTGCGGGTCCGAGCCGCGTTCGCTGACGGGCTCGCGAGCCGTGCGCCCATTGGCTCCCGGCACGTTGGCGTCGTTCGCTCGCGCGGGCACGGCCAATGGGGGCGCGGGGCCGGGCGCGCGGCCTCGGCGGCGGGGGCGCGAGCCCGGCGCGGCTCGGCGCGGAGAGCGGCGGCAGTGGCCGTGACGTCACGGGAGGGGGTCGGCGCCGCCCGCGAGCCGCCGGATTACAAGCGAACGCGCCCGGCAGCGGCCGGAGTCGCCAGGCGCCGCGTCTCCGTCGTCTCCTCCGCCTGCGCCTGCTCCTTCTCTTCTTCCTCCTCTTCCTCTGGTTGCCGCTGCCACCGCGGCCGTGTCTGCTCCACAACTTTCCAAGAAAGTTGAGAAACTCGGCTCTGGGGCAGCCGCGTCGCGCGCAGCTGCCACCTCAGGAGCCGCGGGGGAGCTCCGAGGGTGCGCGGCCGCCGGGGCTTCGCGGTCGCTGCACCTGCCTCATCCGCCGCCGCCGCTGCCGCCCGGTGCCAGGCTGTGGGCAGACCCAGGCGGCGGTGGCGGCGGCGAAGGGGTCGCTTCCTGCCGCCTGCGCCTTCGCCTGGGTCCCTGCGCGGCCACCGCCGCCCCACGTGCGCGGTCGTTCCTGGAGCGCACATTCTGTGGTTTCTCAGAAATTTTTGTAACTTCCCCCCGTGTTTCTTTCTCCCCACCCCTACTTTTTGCATAAGGGAAAAAAAAAAGTTGTGTCGAAAGTGTCCACTGATTGTCACCTCCCAATTATCCTTCCTTTCCTCCCCGCCCCACTCTTTTTTTTAAGCGGCGGCAATATTTAGTGTTTATTTTGTTTTGCTGTCGATAGCTTCCTTTGCTCGTTCTGCGCGGCTGCTGGACGGCGGAGTGGCGTGGACCTCATGTAGAAATGACAACAATGGAAGGGGCCAGCGGGTCGAGTTTTGGAATAGACACGATTTTGTCCAGTGCCAGTTCGGGCAGCCCCGGCATGATGAATGGAGATTTCCGCCCGCTCGGCGAGGCCAGGACCGCGGATTTTAGGAGTCAGGCCACCCCGTCCCCCTGTTCGGAGATTGATACCGTAGGAACGGCGCCTTCTTCTCCTATCTCGGTCACCATGGAGCCCCCGGAGTCTCATCTGGTAGCGGACGGGCCCCAGCATCACCACCACCTCCACCACAGCCAACAGCCGCCGCCGCCAGCAGCGGCCCCGACGCAAAGTTTGCAGCCTTCGCCCCAACAGCAGCCGCCGCCGCCGCCACAGCAGCCGCCGCCGCCCGCCCAGCAGCTGGGCTCGGCCGCCTCGGCCCCCAGGACTTCCACCTCTTCTTTTTTAATTAAGGACATCTTGGGCGACAGCAAACCTCTGGCGGCGTGTGCACCCTACAGCACCAGCGTCTCCTCTCCCCACCACACCCCGAAGCAGGAGAGCAACGCAGTGCACGAGAGCTTCAGGCCAAAGCTCGAGCAGGAGGACAGCAAAACCAAACTCGACAAGCGGGAAGATTCCCAGAGCGACATCAAATGCCACGGTGAGTTGCGCAGCCCGGGCTCCCTCAGCCCGCTAGCTTCTCCTCCTGGTTCCCTTTTTCCCCTTCAGCCTCTGGCGAATCTGATGGGGAGTTTTTCCTTGAGCTTCTCGGGCGATTGGGCGACAGTCAAAAGACTGCAAGCTGGAGGGAGGCCTAGGCGTGCGCTTTGGTAACTAGTTCCAAGTTCTGTTTATTGTTACATTTTCACCCTACAGTCTTCACCGCCATCCGGCTCCTTTCTTTGTTTTACTTAATTTTAATTTGTCCAAGGTTGGCAGCGGTGGAAGCCATCGGAATGGAAATACTTTTCGTTGATAAAAGGGACGGACTTGAGGTTTTCTTAGCGGAGACCTTGGGAATGGGAATGGGAGGAGATGGGAAAGAGAAACCGCTCAGCAAGCATGGTGTCTAGGGGTGTGAATAAACAACCTGGTGTTTATTCTTTAATGCAAATGATCTCACCCCCCCCCCATCGTATTTTCTAAACACCATTACTGGAATTACTGGATTTAATGGAAGAAAAATTTCCGAGTTGATTAACAGCAACTTTTTTCATTAGATTGTGTAGATCAGTAAAAATTCATAAACAGTTTTTAACAATATCCTTATTACTCCATGGCCCCAACTGAATATCTGTATCTTAGTAATATTTCTGGCCCCTTATAAGTAATTGGGAGGTCGCATTTATAAAAATAAATTTTTATGGACTTGAATTTATTTTTCGTAAAATCAGAAGATGAAAATTGAAATTGTCCTTAAACTCCTTTTTTACATTTTTTTCTCAGATAATTTCATAAGTAAATGTTGTGGTTTGGGCATGACAAGAGTTTTAGCATACCAGGAGACTTTTTTTCACCTTTACTGATAAGTTTATTATCATTTTTATTATTAATCCTTGTTTTTCTGGTAAAGATATATGCTGACTGTCTGGAGGGTAGGATATTGCTCCTCATTTTACTATTATGGTATTAGCATAATAGTGTCCAAAACAGATGTACAGTCTGGTCTGGCGATTTTTTGTGCACCAACCTCCCCAGTGGGTCAATTAGAGAGATTATTGTTCTTCCTGCAGGGAAGATCAAGGAGCACTGCACAAACGGGTACAAACAGAGAGGGATTGACATATCGATTTCCCAGCATTTCAGTAAAAAACCAAAGTTGACAAATAGAATCCGGAAATCTTCGTGCTGTCACCTGGATGGGCTCAGTGATTTTGAGCTCAGCTCGGTGTCTGTGTGACAAATTGTTTGGGAAGCTTTAAGAGACCTGATGCAGGCAGCCTCACAAAGCTTGATTCCAACATTTCCCAAGTGCATCTGAAAAAGAGAAACAAATGCCTGTAACTTTCAGTAGAAAGAGAAAAGTAAAATGAAAAAGGTGCCCCCGCTAAAAAAAACCAGAGGAGAACGAGCCTTTGAAAAGTACCAAATCAGAGAAACAAAGTCATAATGAAAACATTAAAGAAAAAGGACAGTGTCTCCCCCCAATCAAGGAAACAACAATAACAAAAGAACCCTTTATTGAAAAGTATTTTGTTTTCTTTTTAACTGTCAACCATGTGAGGATCATACATGAACCCCTCTAGGACCTTCAAACAAGGCCTCCCACCCCCCAGTCAGAAAATGGCCCTCTTGCTCTGTACTGGCTGAGGCCCAAGTATGTGAGTGAAGGGGGTAGCAGAGTGTAGTCCCCTGAGAGGAGTGGCTGGCTTGGGAACGTGGAAATGTGTGCCAGGAGGACACTCCATCCTTCCCCATTCTAGCCTGACTTAAGCTGTGGCTGGGTTTCTATCATAGGAACAAAGGAGGAAGGAGACCGGGAGATTACAAGTAGCCGAGAGAGTCCCCCTGTGAGAGCCAAGAAGCCTCGTAAAGCCAGGACTGCTTTCTCCGACCATCAGCTTAATCAACTCGAGCGTAGTTTTGAGCGGCAGAAGTACCTGAGTGTGCAAGACCGCATGGACCTGGCTGCTGCGCTCAACCTCACTGACACCCAAGTTAAGACCTGGTACCAGAACCGCAGGTAAGGGAGGCTGTTTGGCGTAGCAAAGGTGCCTGGCTGTTTAAGTCATGACCATCATACCAGTCTTCTCTCCTGGCTTCGGGAGACTCTTGGGAGAGTAAGAGAGCCTGGTGTGGACACTTGGGTGTTTTCAGGCAGAGGGAGGAATTAGCCATACCCCCAAGATGAGAGAGACTGAAGGGCAGCTGGAATTTGGACAGTTTTGCACTTCTAAGTGTCTTAACAGGTGCTACTTTCCTTCTGAAACCAGAGTGGCTGGAATTTCCCCCACTTCATCCCCAAATCAATCAAGCCACACCTTCTCAAATTGAGACATCTGTGCAGCTGACACTCAGGCCCAGAGAGCCTCTGTGGTGCACCCCTTGGGCCTGCCCCAGGCTGGTTCCAAATGTCTGTAGCCAGCAATGCTGCCTGGCTATGGCAGGCCCACAAAGCTGTCCCACCAGCCTTGGCTTAAATGCCCTTGCTTTGGCCTGTGATGTGGCTGAGAGAGGCATGGTCCAAGCCTTGGTCTGTGTAGCTGCAGAGACTAGGATAGCCCAGCTGGGTTAGAATTGGGTTGGTAGCTGCAGGCTGGAGAATCTGGCAGCTGGCCAAGCATCCAGACTTGGGGGTGTAGGGAGACTGTCCCCTGTACTGGCCGCCTCCTGTACTGGCTGCTACCGCTGCTGTCTAGACATGGAGAAAGGGTGCTGGGGAGTCTGCCCAGCATTGCTGCTTCTTTAGAAGGGAAATGGGGAAAGCAAAAGAGGCTGGCAGTGCTAGCAGGGTCCTGAACCCTACGAGTGGAACCTGGGCAATTGGTGGAGGTTATGCTGTTATTCCCAAGCCTGGCAGTCTTCTCCCTTGTCCCAATCTGTCTCCCCCTCCTTTTCTCTCGTTTGTGTTCTAATCGCCCATAAGTGCGGTTGGAAATGCCCATCCAGTTGTCATCTTTACCATAATTTTCTGTCTCATTACATACGGTTTCAGCCACCCTAATTCTGTCGGAAAACATTAGTGTCATTTGTAGCCAATTTAAAATGGGCGACATGTTTATTAATTTGGCTGGAGCTGCTGGGTATGGATGGCCCACCAGCCTTGCGTTCCTTCATAAGGCATTTGAGCAAACGCCTGCTCATCTCTTCTTCCTAGCTGGGTGTGTGTTGGGGGAGGGAGGAGACCAAGAAAAGCTGATCACAGGTTTTAATTGTTGCTTTCTCCCCAAGGAAGAAATATCTTGAAATGCATTCCCTATCCACTAATGGCCGGGAGGTACTGTCCCCTTGGGAGAGCCCTCCCTCAAACGAATTTGAGACCTTGTTGCCCTCCTCTCCCTGAACCCCCTGATCACTGTAAGGTCCTGTCAGACTGATGAGAGAGAGATGTGTTTCCACAGCCTGGGGACTGAGAGGGATGAGGTCCGAGGCCCAGGAGTCTCTGTGTCCCTTTGTTTATGGTTTCTTCTCTCTCAGCTTGGAGGGAAGAAAGAGGGACTGAGAGTGGACACTTGGGGATTGTTGGGGAGCGGCATGTGGGAGAGGAAGGAAGAGACAGAAGACTGCCTGTGGAAAGAAGGGTCTCATTTGTCCCCCAGGAAAGTTTCAGGAAGTAGCCAAACTACAAGGGGGACAACAGCAGAGCAGAGGGACAGAAAAAGGCAGCAAAGGTTGTAGGATTTCATTTGTGATAGTTTCAGATATTAAGGGTATAATTTACAAAATTGACTTTGGATTTGGGTTATTCTTCATTCTTCCAGCAAGGCTGGTGCAGGAGATGGGGTACATTTCTGGTGCTCAGCGGTCTCTGAGTCTTCCTGCCACCTTCAGGACAGAGAAACGGGAGGTGGGAGAGGGCCAGAGAAGGGGCCGTGGTCTTGCTGCCTGCACAGTGTCCACAGCTGCTGGGTGCATGCACGCCTGCTTTCTTTTAGGACCAAGTGGAAACGGCAGACTGCGGTGGGCCTGGAGCTGCTGGCTGAGGCGGGAAACTACTCGGCGCTGCAGAGGATGTTTCCGTCCCCTTATTTCTATCACCCCAGCCTGCTAGGCAGCATGGACAGCACTACCGCAGCGGCCGCTGCCGCTGCCATGTACAGCAGCATGTACCGGACTCCCCCGGCACCCCATCCCCAGCTGCAGCGGCCCCTGGTGCCCAGAGTGCTCATCCATGGCCTGGGGCCTGGGGGACAGCCAGCCCTCAATCCCTTGTCTAGCCCCATCCCAGGCACCCCACACCCCCGGTGAAGAACGGGCAGAGCAAAGATGTTGCAATCCCTCCCCCATACCCCACTACCCAGACAGCTGCCCCTCCTCTCCCCACACCAAGCCACCAGGCGACCCTGGGAGGCAAAGGAGAAGGAGAGGAAGAGAAGATGCTCACCAGTGGGCGGAGGACCCTCAAAGAGGAGCCAGCCCTCTACTCTGCCTCTCCCCACGCCCGAGATAGGGCTGGAAAGCTCTCTCACAGCAGTGTGACCGGCGAAAACGCTGAACCCACACAAAGTGCGACCAGTAAGTGAAAACATCAACAAAAACAAAACCTCAAGTTCTTTTAAGCAAACGACTTTAGGGACAAGGAGAAGGGAGGGAGGGGGGAGGGCTAAAGAGGGAAGAAAGAAGGGCACAGAGCGGAAACTGCACAGGCAGAGAAAATTGTCGATGGACAGATAGCCTCAAGTTCCGAGGCAGAGGGCGTTGCCGTGGACATTCCGTCTGCCCCAGAGAAAAGAGGAGGGTGACTGAGAACTTTGCACTGATTTCTCATGACCTTTTTTCTTTTGGAAAAGTGGCATGCTCCATAATATGAAAAAAATGTACATTTGAAAGACTGAGTGATAAGTGATATATCATATTTATTATATGTTGTCCAAAAGAGAGTCACTTATATACGTTAGTAAAAACATGATTTTTCTTTTCATGTCTTTTTGATTCAGTAAAATAAATGCTTAGACAAAAGTATAGATTTTTTTGTGATTGAAAATTACAAAAATAAAGTTTATCTTTTTTTAACAAGTGATGAAATCCAAGGGAGCTGATTTTGCTAAAGCAGAATGTACTATGATGAGATGTGTGACTTGGTTTAGAAAAAAAAATCCTTCTGGAATATTAGGAATTTACAACATCTGTAAAGACGTTGGATTGGCTTATGTAAAAACAGCTCCATTTTTTATGCTGGCCTCTTCTGAGCCATTATTTGATATGTGTGAATTCCTTTCTTTTTAAGTGGACGGTTTCAGAGAGCCCATGAGGCCGCAGGAGAAAGTCGGTACTTGTAGGCTGTTGGTGCTGGCTAAGTGGATGGCCAACTTCTGTCGTCCTGGCCGACCTGGAGGCCCCAGCTTGACCGGGTGTGGGGATCCCTCTGCCCACCCCTCCCCCTTCTCCTAGGGGTCTTCTTGGGTTAGCGCTGGGCGCTGAGTGCTGGGCGGTGACGACGCAGGCAGGGGCTGGGCGGCGGGAGAACGCTTCTCCGGCCTCGCAGCTGTTCCGCCGCCCACGGCTGGGCGCCCTAGCGGCCGGGACAGCCTGCGAGCAGGAGGCTGCAGGGCGAGCAATTAGGACGCCCCGGGGGACTCAGAGAGGCCTTGCTAACAAACCCTTGTCGTGGCTTTGATCCTTGCCTTCTTGGTCCCCCGGCGGCGGCGGGCGTCCAGCCCCCAGCTCCACACAGAGCTGCTTGTGAGTTCGCTGTGCTGAGATGCCTGGAGCAGGAATGCAAAGGCGAACTCTGGCTGAGACAGGCGTGCCAAGCCTTTTATCCGCGCCCCTGGGACGGCTGGGACTGCAAAATGAGAGAGACCCTGCTCAGAGTGTGGAGGAGGCCCATTTCCTGCTTTAGGAGTGTCTCTCTGTGTGTGTGTGTATGTGTAAATGATCATAGTACCCCAGCGAAGCTGGCCGTAAGCACCCCTGTGCAAAGCTGGCTTCCCACCAGGCTCAGTGCTCAGGACTGTATGAGGGAACAACTAAGTGGAGGGTGCAGTCCTAAGCTTGCTCCCACTCTTCTCCAGCTCCCAGGATACTTCCTGAGTACCCAGTCAACCCCCTATCTGGCTATCCTCAAATTTCTATCCTCATTCCTACCCTAGTACAGTGACAAAGGGGTAAAATACATCTAGATCTGGCCTCCAACTTTCTCTGATGCTTGAACCTTAGTAGAGTTAAAAATATTTTCAAAAATGTGAAGTGGTGTGGGAATGTATGTCGAGGAGGGGTGGGAAGGAAGAAGGGAAGAAAGAGGTGAAATCTGGGCATAAATTGCCTCAGGCGCCTTGATCAGACCTTGGCTAATTAAGGAGTGGTTTTTGCAGATTTTTCTTCAGCTCATCAATTTGCTTTAAACTAGGTTTTGGGTCTTGTTTGATTCTAACAAAAGGGCCTGGACTGGCCTTTCTCATTTTCTGCCTGCTGAGCTGGGACAAACTCAGACAGCTGGGCTTGGCTGAAAATTGGGCGCCGCTGTGTCCAGTGGGGGTGCCCAATGCCTGGGCACTCAGCAGACTCTCCTTGTTCCATCTTAGCTGTGGTTGGGTTTTTCGATCAAGTTTAAGCAGTTTAAAAATGGTCTGCCTAGGCCTAAAAAGGCACTTTTCAAGGCTTGAGAGTGCTGCAACTTCTCTCTGCACTGAACCTGGGGCTGGTCAGCTCTGGGCACAAGGAGGACCTGGAAGGTCACAACGTTCACACATGCAAAGAATTACTTCAAGTACAGGTGGAGAAAATACAAAACTACAAATCCTAAACAAGGCCGCAGCACCCATTTGCTGCCAGCAGCTCAGGAGCCACCCTGCCAGGGAGTCTATTCGCTGCAGATTCACTCTCAAGGCTCAACTTGGACTCCCTAGGTGAGCAATACAGGGGGAAGCACTATGTCTACAGAGACCAACCTCACATTCTGCTGCTGTCTGGATCCACCAGAGTCCCCCCAAGTTCAATTTTTTTCCAAAGACATGTTTTCTTTCACCTCCTTTACGGATTTGTCATGATTTATCATGTAGCTGAAAGTGGTCAACCCTCTTTTAAATTTGTTTTGGTTACCTGCTATTGCTATTGCATACAAGTTGGCAGATTGGATGTTGGGGGTTGGGGGATTGTCCCAGGAAGAAATCTGGGTGGGTGCTGGGGTTCCTTTCCATTTTTTTTTTTTTTTTTTTTTGGTCTGCAGTCATACTGCAAAGGCCACCTCAGCAGGTGCTCTAGTATTTAATAGTCCCTAAACTACTGTTTAAAAATCAGGCAGAAACCCAGTTCTTCTTTACAAGAGGTCCTCTTTCCTTCTGTGCTTGCTCAACGAAGTTGTGGGGTTGGCTAAGAGGTAAGAAGAGCAACCTCAGGTTTTCTGACAAGGAAGGAACAAGAGAATAGGCAAAGGCCTTTTCTCTCGGGAGATCTGGAGTTAGTTACAGAGGCCCAGAGGTACAGCTGTTCCTGGGAGCTGCACTCCTTTTCTTTTTCCCACCTTCAGCTGGTATCTGAAGGGCATCCCATGGCCGGTCTCCATTTAGATTGCTTCTCTGGTTGGAGGCTAGCGAAACGGACTTTCAGTGGCAATCTTTTGATTCCTACAGAACCACAGGAATAGGAACTTGTTTCAGAGAGATGTTTAAAAACTTATGAAAGTCCCTTAGATTTTTTCACCCCAAGATCGCCTTAGGGACTCCAGAAAACCTAGCACAAATCTGTGGTGAGTGTGGAGGAAGAAGTTAACTCACTAGCTAGTAGCTTGCTATTCAGCCCAAGCCAGCGATTTTCAAAGAGTTGCAAAGTAATGATTGCTATGTGGTTCTACACCTCCAGCAAATATTCCTACTGCCTTGTATCAGTTTATTTTTGCTCCACCCCTTAAAATGAAAGCCCACACAATGGCAAATTAGACAGCCAATTTCCTGTGTTGCAAATAAAACTGTATACTCTCCCTCCTCCTCCCTCCTTGCCATTCTGACTCCTGCCTAGGCAGCCCTTCCCCAGGAGTCTGCTGCATCCCACCTCCCCTCTTTAAACAGGCGGCTTGTGAGTAGTTTGTTTTGTTATATTTTTAACTTTCTAAAAATATTTGGAAAAGCTCTCCCCAGGGCTAAAGAAACTTTAGCTCTTGTTAAGCCACGTGGTTACAAAAATATACTGGAAGAGAGCTGCTTGGTTTTTGAAAAAGCCAGGCACTGCTTGAAGTCATGCTTGTAAAGAAACTGACTTTAAACTACTGGTAGGAACGGTCAGGGGCAGGGCCTAACCTGGAAGGGAACTGATGTTTCCTCTGCAGCTCAGAATCCTTGGTGAGGGAAAACTGGCTTGCCCCATGCCCTGGCTGTTGACTAGAGAAAGGTGTGGACAGATAAGTGAGTAGGGGTTTCTCCAGTGTTGACTTCATGGACTCTGGAAGTATCCCCAGGCTTCTTGATTGAGTCTCCCACTAGGTCTTTGTCCAGTCCTACTTCCTTGGCCATCTCCAGACTTCCTCTCTACCATTTGTGTCTTTTTTTGGAGTTGTGGCCTCCCGCCAGGGGTCTGCACTCAGCGCCTCCCCCTTCTTACCTCTGGCAGGCTGAACACCCCCAGGGCTGGGGAGGGGTAAGTGTGTATGTGTGTGTGTGGGGTGGTGGTGGTGGTAGGGGGGGGAAGGTGTGCTTTCAGAGAAAAAGAGATGTCATTGGCCTCTTGCTTTGAAAAACAAGGTCATCTGTCTCAGGGCAATGAGATGACCCAGAAGGGACTTTTTCCTCCCTTCCTTCCGGCTGAATTTTGAAGGTCTCTGTCAGTTTGAGTATTGCTGAGTGGACTGTCTCGGTCAACCTCACATTCTAAGTTTCTATCCTCTCTACCACTCCTTGTCTCCGCCCGTGGGTCTCTTTCTCCCGAGTTCTCTCTCCTAGCACCACAGACAGCTCCCGGGCACGCGGTGGAGCGAGGTGCCCGGGCCGGCAGGTTCCAGGGAAAGCCTGGGCGGCCGCAGGGGGCGCGCCGAGGAAGGGTCGGCGGTGCCCGCCGGGGAGGTCTGCGAGGTGATTACAAAGCGCCCTCCCCGGCAGCGTTTCCTGATTAGCTCTAAGTCCAAACAGGGTCACATTCCAAAGAACAAAATCTTCAGATCAATAAAGTAATTCAAAAACCAAAAGATCTCGGGGTAAGTAGTGCTCAGTGACAGATCAACTCTAAACCGTCCCTATTTAATAAGTTCTTAGTGGAAGCCGACTGCGTTGGGGGGAGGAGGCCTCAGGTCTGCTGCTCCAAAGCCCTTGCGTCGCGGCTGCTGCGAGGTCGCCAGTGGAACTCTCTAAATGGCATTTATTTCCTCCGCTCGCACAGCCCCGAGCGCGCTCCGCGAGCCGCCGCCTCAGCCGGCGTAGGCCCAGGAGAAGCGCTCCCGCGGCGGCCGCTCTGCAAGTCGCGCTGCGCCGCGGCCCGCATCTCCTCCGCGGCTCCCACCACGCGCCCTCTCCCTACGGGTTTGGGACTTTCCCAGCTCCGGCTGCTCGCTGGTCCCGGACAGCAGGTCGCCCCTGCGGGAGCTCCACTGAAAGAAGAGGACCTTCGTGATTGCGAGATTGAACTTGATTTACGATAAAAGGGCCTTGTCACTTTGTGGAGCTGATGGATTCCCGCCCCTACCCACCCCCATCTCCCGCCGCCGTCAGACTTGATTCCTCAGTGAAGAGGCCCTCAGTGTGGCAACGATTCGCACGCACGTCGCAGCCAGGGATTTGGCGAGGCGGCCTGGAAGCCCCGCCGCAGTGCGCCGGCTCCGCGCGGGCTCCTCCATGGTGCGCCCCCCTGCCAGGCCCCCGCGCTCCTCCACTCCCAGGACAGCCCAGCTGCCACGAGTTCGTGCGCTCGGTTACAGATCATGTTTCAGGGAGGAATGGGCATATCAGGACAGGGGTCCTATAGACCTGGGACAGGAATCCAGATGATTTCACGGGCGGTGCTTGGAACGGCCTACAAGGCAGGCCCCTTCTCTCACATCTCTGTGGGCCCTGGAGGGAAGAGAAAGCCGCCTCTTCAGGTGGAGATAATGT